TTCAAATATTAATCAAGTTGCTCCAATGCCGGAAACTTCAATGCCGGATAGAACTATACAATATATTAAATAATTAGATTTTATATAAAAATTCAAGGCATTTACTGCTTATAAAATTTTTTTTTTAAATTCTACATATTAAGCTTTTTAATTTCAAATTATTTTTCTGAATAAATATTAAAAATAATTTGGAAGATTATCATTATTTAAATTAGTTTACACCAACAACTCTTTTAAATATATGTATTTCTGAATTTTTTTTTTAAATTTTGTTTTATATAATAATTAGGGAACTAATTTGTATTGAAATAATATTAGAAAATATTGTTATAAACAGACAAAGTTTAGGGAATCTCGGAGTTTCTATACTCACATCAGAGTAAAAAATAGAAAAAATTGGAAATAATTGTTTAAAAATTCGGACAAGATACCTTTACTTGAATTGGAATTAGTGTTGTTGGGGACCGGGTATTAACCGGTACCGTCTGTTTTTGGTTAATTCAAAGAATAAATTAATTAAATATAAGTTTTGTTTTGGGGGAATTGAAAAATCATTCAGTTTCAAAAATTCTCGGTTAATAAAATTTCATAGAAACTTTTAATTTTTGGCAAGTACTATTAAAATTCGGTACTTTATTAATATCCCGCCCCCCACCCCTATTTGAGTCTCAGATTATTTTTCCTTTTTTTTGCTGTCAATCATTTATTCCCCTCCTTTTTTAATACATACCAATCATTTTCTTCCCTCGAATATTATAAGTAAAAGGCAAAGTAGAAACTTAAGATATTTGAGGAGTAAAGCCCAAAAAGGCGCGCAGCCATAACGGCGCAAAGCCACAACCTTCTGGGATATTTTAGGCCCTTGTCATTTTTGTTATCAATCTCTTTAGCTCGATGAAAGGAATCGTTTAATATTAATTTTTGTAAGGTTCGAAAACCATGAAGCAAGTTATGGCTTTGCGCCTTTATGGCCGCGCGCCCTTTTGGGTGTCTTATATTTGAGGGAAGAAAATGATTGACGTTAAAAAAGGAGGAAAAATAAATGATAGGCAGGTAAAAAGGAAAATTAATCTGAGACTCAAATAGGGGTGGGGGGCGGGATATTAATAAAGAACCAAAATTCTAGGTTTTACACCTATCACTAACAACACTAATTGAAATTTATCCTCTTCTATCAAAATGCTAATTGCACCTTTGGGTTTCTGACATGAATTTTAGGGAGGGGGGGGGGGGGAATACATAAGTAGAGGCATTTCAGAATAAATAAAAATAAAGAATTGATCAGGGAAGATAAAAGGACCTACAAACTCCATTCACGCGAATTTACATTAAAATACTATATTTTTCTCTAAAATAGTAGTATGTATATTATGTCAGAGACTCCCAAAAGTGCAAAAATGATGTTTTTTGATAGTGTGATTTATTTCAACATATGCATGTATTTCAATGCTGACAAATCTTGCCCTTTTATTCTGCTTTGCTTGCCCTTTTATTTTTATTTAACTTTTTATCTTCCCCGCTCTTTCAAAATTACTTTTTTTATTTTATTTAAGATAGCGACAAAAGTCGATTATTAAAAGGGCATCAATATTCTTAAACATTTTATTAGACACTAATTTTTAAAGCGATGGCTGCCTATTTACTGCCTATATTTTTATCAGCATTAAATGCGCCTTTAATAAAATTTAATTTTTTAAATAAAAATCTTTTTTGTTTCTATTTAAAATATTTTTTAAAAATTATGTCAAAAGTATGATTTCTATCTAGACCTTCATCCTAGAACCGAAACATAAGCTATTGGTTAAATTGCTGGATTCAAATACAAGACATATTCTGTGATACTTAGAGCTCAAAGTAGTTTTCCGGTTTTTCTGGGCTACGATATCACGTTTAAATCTAAGTTATATAATTAGTCCCCCAAATCCTCCCAAGTCCTATTGTCCTTCCAAATCCCTTAACCACACAAATGCTCTTAACCCTCTACCTATCCAAATCCTCTCTTTTGAAATATATCCCTTGATATTTCCCTAAATCCCTCCAAATCCCATTAATCCCGTCAAACAATTTTAATCCACCAATAAAATTTTGTTGATCAAAATGAAGGCATTAAGTGTGTAAATACTGAGAGATGATCTCTAGATCTTCAAGTTTTCATTTAAAATAAGGAAATTTCAGCAAAAAAGTTTAAATTTAAGCTTTCTACAAATTTTGAAAAAACCGGGTCCGGGCCCGGAAATGTGGAAATTCGAGATTTAGTGATAATTATACACTTTGTCTCAAAAATATACTTCCACCTATATTTTGCGGCTTAGGTCCATAAGTTGTTAACGGATTTGAATGAAAATTTAATACATAATGCACAAAGACATTTTGAAACTATATTTAAAATTTGAAAAAATTCTAATCATGCTATTGCAGCTATTTCTTTGTAAAATGGGTGATGGAGGCAATTTCTTCCCTTATTAATTCTAATAATTTATTTAGAAATTTTTAAAATCAATTTAACACAGAAAAATACCCAAAAATGTCAATTTCAATTAAATTACTAATTCCAATCTTTTTATTTTCAATTCTTTTACCTTCAATTTTAAATGTAAAATTTCCTAACAAAGAATATCTTGAGTTTGTTGAGGAATTTACTAATATAAAAAAAGAAGAATTTTCTAAATTTTTAAATAATTCTGTTTTTCTGAGAGATTTGTTAACACATATTGACCAATATATAGGGGATTCTAAATATTTAAAAACAAATCCAAAGCACTCTCAACTAAGACAAGCTAGAATGGAATTTTGGACAAATTTTAGGGAGCATTATAATTTAATGCAATACCGTGACCTTATTGGACGTGCATTAATTGTAAAAGGAGCTAAAACTGAGGAAATCGAATATAAACTTAATAGAATGAAAGATAAAGAGGCACTCGATATATTACGAGATTACTATGAATATTGTCAACAAAAAATAAAAGATATTGAAAAAGAGATGAACGAGAAGGCTAATGTAGGTTTTGGGGGTTTATACCCTTTCTCAAAAAATAGATATATAAATTCAAACCAAAATTTAGGTTTTCTAATCTCCGGTATCGGATATCCTTTTCTGTATATGTATATCCTTTTTCGGCGCCGTAAGCGAAAATTTTTTAAATTTATAGTGGCCGAGAAACTAGAAATCCTCGACGCTAAAAAATGAAGTTTTTTCAAAAATTCGAAAACTAAAATCGAAAATATCACCCAATTTTGGCATCGTAAATCGAAAATCTAAAGTGAAACCTCGAAAATCGAAATTTTGATACAGCTCTACTCGCTAACAATTCAAGTTAAAAATCGTGATACATAAGTTAGGTATTTTAATTTATTTTAAGAAGCAATTGCAACATTTGTTGATGTCAGAATATGTCATCACCTACTCTTCTTTGCCTGAAGATGATAAAATCTGCCCGATTTGTCACGAAGAATTTGAAGAATATATAAATAATGAGAAAGTTATTAATAAGCTTAAATGTGGACATATTTTCCACCAGGATTGCATAATTAATTGGGCTTTATCAGACAATGAGAACAGATATAAATGTCCGTTGTGTCGTGAAGAAATTGAATTTAATGAGGCACACAAAGAATTTAAGGAGAGAATGAAGAAAGCTGGGTTTACTTTTGAAGATGATGTTCATAATTAAGAATTTTATTTTGATACAAATATACAAGAAGGGTGGAGGGGAGTCCGAGCATCGGTTTGAATTAGTTGCATGTTTAATTATACTTCGATGTTGGCGTCTGGATTAGGGTTAGGGTTTTCGAGTCGGGCCGACGTTCGAGTTATTTTTTGGGCCTCGTTTTTATCGGGCCGGCCCTACCGAGCTTTTTCGTGCCAAAATTCAATGCCCGACTCGATCTTCCGGACCGGGCCGGATGAGAGAGCCCCCATCCCTAGGCAGGATATCCGAAATTTTTGGGTTGGATATCGATCCAGATATCCAAGGTTTCCGAAAATCCGTGAAAAATAGACTGGACACATCCATATCTAGATGGTAGCTTTATTCGAATTTGGAATTTCGGGTTTTAGCTATATTTCTATTTTAAAAAATTTAACCGGGGATTTAAATTAAAACCATTATTCACATATTTAAAAATTCTCTAGTATTTTTTAAATTAAAATTGAGACAATTTTGTTATTGAATCTTTTAATTGTAGTCATTTAAAATGTTAATTAAAAAAATTATTTAAATTATTTTAACAAACAACATTTCGTGTTAAATAATAAATAGTATTTTTAATTTTCTTTTAAATTATTTAACACGAAAAAATACAAAAAAAGCTAACAGTTAAATAAACATAAATTTTTAAAATTTAAATTATTAAAACATGTTGTAAAAACAGAATAAGTTTATTAAAAAAATTCTTAATAATTAAAAAGAGCTTAAGGTGTTTCGAACAATTTGAGAGTAACATTCTCTTCTTTATTTAAGAGGAAAAATGTTAATAGGAGAAATATATTCAACAATAATTTATTGTTTTGCTACATTTGGATTGTTTTCTAATTTGTTTTTAATTTGGCTAATTTTACGTTATACAATGAAAGAAATGCAAGTTTATAGCAAAATACTTTTACAAACTTGTTTTGTTGATATTGTTGGGATTTGTATGTTTGTTGTTTCTCAACCGGTAAATAAATATTTGGGCGCGGGAAAGTTTTGGCGTGATTGACTATAACATTTGAAGAAAAATTAATTTTCTTGTTTAAAAATAGGTTTATGTGTCCGATAATGGTGTTGGAACAACTTGGAATTACGGACCTATACATTTCTTACCAAATCCTTGGCAATTCGTTCTCCTTCGTATAAATTATTTTATGACAAGAGTTACCTCGGTGAATGTCTGTACATTATTCATTTATCGTTATTTTACTGTTGTTCGGTAAAACTTTATGAAAATTTCTTCAAATATATTTCTTATGTAGCGAATTTGAAATTAAATTTAAACACCAATTATTATTAATTTCTGTTATGATACTTCCAATATTTATCTTAACTGTTTGTTCCTTTATATCAAACTATCCAAATCCAGAAAATGAATATTTAACAAATCATGAGTTGGCAAAAACATTGGGATTGGATAATTATACAATTGAAAATTATGTTGTTGGGCAAAGAACAAGAGTAAATTAATTTAGAATTTTTAAAATTTGTCAGTAAAATTTTAGACTAACGAACTATCAAATTTTACTTCAAATTATGCTTCAGCATTAACAATAATTAATTATATAATAATTATTTTTTGTGGTATAAGTATACAAATACATGTTTATCGTCACTGTAAAGGTGTAGAAATGACTCAATTACGTAATACGAATAAACAATTAAGTATTGTTTTGGGGGCACAGGTAAAATTAAATTTATTTTAATTGGATCCAAATATTCGGAGAACTCCCAGGATCCTACAACCCTATTCTCAACCAACGAAGGGAAATTTGTAGAGATAGGAAAAATAAAAATCAAATTAAAAATTTTTCCTTCTAATTCTCTTATCTCTTCTCGAATCTGGGTGTATATTTAGCTATATTTAACTATTTAGCCTCGTTTTAGCTTCAAGGACCTCACCTCAACCTTGGTTTTGAGGTCAAGGATAGCAAAATCTAAGTTAATATAGACTACTTTGGACAAGCTTTATTGGTAAAGCTTTATCCCAGATATCCTATATTCTCGGATTACCCGATATCTCTCCAAATCCCTTACCCTTATTAATTTAAATCTATTTTAGGCTATTTTGCCTCTAATATCAAATATCTCAACTTTGATTGTCAATTTAAAATTTTTATTTAATTTTCCTGGTTTATATTCCTCATCTATTATAACATTCTCTACTTCTAGTTTGGTATCTTTGGTCGCTGTTTTAAATCCTATTGTGAGTTTATTTATTTTTAAACTTTAATAATTAATTTATAAGTTAACAATTTTGTGTGTAGGAAATTACAAAAAAAATTCTAATGTAAAACAAGCTGTCCCGAAATTACAACATATTGTAAGGAAGAGAAAGATTCAGCTGGCTTGCATTTAAAACGCTCATTAGGCGGGGGCTTAAGATCTATTAAAAAAGAAGGTCCGGTACCTCTGTTGGTAGAGCAACTGTACGTGATGAGCAAAAGCGCCTAGCAATAACTGCCAGTCAGGAGGTCTTATAAATTTTTTAAAATAATTTAAGGTGACAATTTTGAGTGTTCGAAATTATAGACAAATTGTTTTAAAAATAATTAAAATTAATACAAATAATCAAAACAATAATTTGTATGTAAATAGCAATGCTGTGGCACCAACAAACAGCGTTTTATGAAAGAAGGATATAAATCAAAGATCGGACTAAAGATCGGACTATAATATCTAAATTTTTTAAATAAAATTATTTCGCCATTTTCTGTGTAAAAATTCTTTTTAGAGTTTTGAAATTAGAATATTCAGTAGGCTTTTTGAGGGTGTGGAATTGTTGTTTCATCCTATCCCCGGCATCGGGAATTAATGAAGAGTGGGGAATTATTTGACTGTTGGGAAATATTCGGTTAAATATTGACCAAGAAAAAGATAAATCCATTAAATAATTATTGGAACTTAAAAAAATTCTAGATATTGGATTACATTCAACCATGTCCACTCAAAACACTATACTCTCAAAATATCCTCACTGCCATAAAAGCTCAAAATGTCTTAACGGCTAAAATATCTTAAACTATCTTTACGCCTAAAATATCTTAAAATAAAGGGTGTGGTAAAATTAGGCCACTTTTTCTTTTTGTCATAAATTTCTTCAAAATTAATGAAAATTGTTAATTCTTTTTTTTTGTTTTATTCCCAACACATTAGAAAACTTACTGATACCAAATATTAAAAATTTGGTACACCGTTTACAAAGATAATTGTGTTCGAACGTCTGGAAAATTTAAAAACATTTTTTACGCCAAAGTTTAATTGATCATAACTTCGTTCAAAATTGTTCAATACAAACATTTTGGTACGGAGCAGTTCAACTGAGTCCCGGCCCTATAACTCAAGTACGGGTTGATAATTTTTAATGTTTTTGGTATCATTGGATAGAGAATTAAAAGCTCTATAATATTTCAAAAAATCAGAATTTTTGACCGATTGATAAAAAAGTTATGATTTAAAAACTAACTTTTTCAAAAAAATCTGATTTTTCGGCACTTTATCGATCGTAACTAAGGCTGTGATAGTTAGGCAAGTAAAATCAGTAAAATAGGCGCCTAAAATAGGCACAAAAAACCGAAAAAGGCACAAAAATAGGCATGTAAAAAAGGATATTAGACCATAAAATGTAGATAAAAACAGAAAAAATAACCAATTAATCGTCATTTTTTAAATTATAAACTATTTTTTAAACAATTTTACCATTTATTCGTCATTTTGAATCATTTTTTGAAAAAATGGAGTAAATTTTTTTAAAATCCCGATAATTGACAAAATGGAAATCTCGCCCAACACACATATTAAAAGTCACACACAAAACGCCGCACCCCAAAACGTCCCAAAACCAGATCGTCCCAGTTTAAAATGTCCAACAGAGTAAAAATAAACAATTTAACGAACTAAAAATTAATAATGGGACTTGGCACTGATTTTTTCTAATTTGGGACTGATTTTTTTAGATTTTGCACTGATTTTTAGGCAAAATTTCGAAAAAATCGCTAAAAAAGGCAAAAATAGTACCAAAAATTTCAAAATAGGCAGAAAGGCACAAAAAGTCAAAAATAGGCAGAAATAGGCATATTAAAAGTCATGCTAGGCTTATCGGACCGAGCTAAAAATACGTTTTTTGAACGTATTACATCATCCCAAGCTTGCAGAAAAAATAGGCATTTGCCTATAAATCACAGCCTTAATCATAACTTTTTTACCAGTCGGTCAAGAATTTTGATTTTTTGGTATATTGTAGCCTATTTAATGCCCTATCTAATGGTACCAAGAGTAACAAAAAGTGACCGTCCCTTCATAAGTTATAGGGTCCGGGACTCAATCGAGTCGGGACTCAATTGAGGTGTACCGATTTTGGCACTAAACGACTCATCTCTCCCGGTCCTTAGTCCTATATAATTACAGGGTGACAAGAAAGTTCGGAGTGAAGAATTTTTTAACCATAACTTTCTGTACACCTAATATTTTTAACTAATTTTAACTCATTTTATAGGCCATTCAATCTTAACACACGCATTCGATACTGTATCGATGCAGAAAGTTCGAATTTTTTAAACTTCAAATAAAATTCATTCTCTATTTTATCGGATTTATTTTATATCCGTAGAATATTTTTGAAGTTATGTACTTCACTCCAGGGCTTCGATTTCTGCGGATTTTTCCTCATTTTGTGGTTTTTTGATAGGGCGATGAGGATTATTTTTTAAAATGCGGATTTGCGGATTTTTGTGGCCTTTTGAAGATTATGAGGATTTTTTGTATTTTCCTGTAGTTTTTAGGATAAAATGTCATTTTTTGTTTTCAGGGCCTTCCAAAATCCGCAAAATTTTCGCCTGCGGCGCAAAAAAGGACGATTTTTAGCTTTAGGATATCCAAAATTCAAAAAATTTTCGCCTGCGGCGCTGAAAATGGAAGAAAGCTGGATTTTTTGTCTTCAAAAATTTCCAAAATTTTCGCCTGCGGCGCTGAAAAAGGACGGCTTTGGCTTCTTGACCTTCATAAATCCGCAAAATTTTCGCCTGCGGCGCAAAAAAGATTTTTCCAGTAAACAATTCACTATAACAAGGGACGGTGAAAGCATTGCCTCAAGTCAACTTTAATTTCTCATTTAATTGTCCGGATTTTAATAAGATAGTCATTATTAGTGAAAAAACTGCTCAATTCAATTGTTAGAGTCAAAAAATATAACGCATAAAGTGATTTTAATTCAATTTTTGAGTTTGATAATTTTTTGCGGATTTTTCATATAAAATGCAAATTTTTTCGATCGAAATTGCGGATTTTTAAAAATTCGAGATCGAAGCCCTGCTTCACTCCGAACTTTCTTGTCACCCTGTACTTGTCAATATGTAATAATTAAAAATTTATTTGTACTATGCAAAAAATTTAAAAATAAAAAAAAGCTTTATTATTTAATAATATATGAGTAGTTCTTCCGGCACTTAAGCCTCTATTGCCGGAGCAACTTGATGAATATTTGAATTATTTTTGCATCGAAATATTATTTGTCTGTAACTTCTAACACTCAAAATTGTTACCTTTTAAATTTGTTTTTTTAAAGTTTAAGAAAAAATAAATAAACTCACGATAGGATTTAATACGGCAATTAAAGATCCAAAACTTGAAGTGAGGAATATTACAATAGACGAAGAATATAACCCAGGCAAATTAAATAATAAAATGGAATTGGCGAATAAATTGGAGAGATAAGGTAGTAAAGGCAGAATAGCCTAAAATTGTTAAATTAAACTTATTAAAATCTTATAATGTATGAGAAATGAAAAGTTTTAGGGTTTTGAAATTTTCTATTAATTGTACTTCGTACATAAAGGCGGGCTTCTAAACATTGGTGATGAAAATGTTTTTTTTTAATTTTCAATTCCAAATGGTTATTAAGACAAATCTAACTTTACCTGTGCCCCCAAAACAATACTTAATTGTTTATTCATATTACGTAATTGAGTCATTTGTACACCTTTACAATGACGATAAACATGTATTTGAATACTTATTCCACAAAAAATAATTATTATATAATTAATTATTGTTAATGCTGAAGCATAATTTGCAGTAAAAATTGATAGATTGTTAGTCTGTAAATATTACATACCTAATCATTTTTAAAATCGTAATTGAAATGAAGTACAAGTAAAAATGAATTTCATAAAATTTATGAAATTTTGAGCCCTGATCGAAAGCCATAGGCCCAAAAAAATTTTCAAAAAACTCGAAAATAAGTCATATATAACGCAGAAGGCTTATTCAGACAGTAGCTTAGCGTTCTATTTTTTGATTATCCTATTTTTGTAAAAATAGGATCGTTCCAGTTTGTGTCAAGTTTTCGGTTCTGGGCAAATCCTATCTAACTCCCTTCATTTCTTCTCTAAATTTTTCAGTTAACAAGTTAACCTACTCCAGCTCTAAGTCCAACAACATAATTTTCAATTGTATAATTATCCAATCCCAATGTTTTTGCCAATTCATAATTAGTTAAATATTCATTTTCTGGTGTTGGATGGTTTGATATATAAGAAAAGGTAAATAATATAAATATTGGAATTATCATTCCAACAATTAATATTAATTGGTGTTTAAATTTAATATTTTTACCGCTACAAAACCAAATAAAATTTATTATTAGATATCGTGGATTTTACCGTACAACAGCAAAATAACGATAAATAAATAATGTAGAGACATTCAT